TTGACCCCAGCCTGGGCAATTTAGCCAAATCTTGTTTCAAAATGAAAAAAAAAAAATTAGAAAGGGCCGTGGGGGAGGATGATAAAACAAGGCTTATTTTAATTCAAGAAAGGAAAAAACAATAATATACAAGAAAGGTGACGTGGAGAAGCTAGACCAGTAGATAGACGGCATGAACCCTGTTCACTTTCTCAGAATAAGCCGCAAAGCTGGCCTCAGAACCAGGAGGGAACTATGTTTGTAAATGCAGAACTGTTCTGCTCCGGAGAGCTGAGTTGAATTTCTGCCAAGGTGTGACACAGAGGCGGCATCATCATGGAAGGTGTCAACAACCTATTACATAGCTCATTTAGCAAGACTCTCAAGCACGTCCTGTGTGCCAGGCAGCGTGCCTAGTGCTAGAAACATGTAGTGAACGAAACCAAGTCCTTGGTTTTATGAAGTTTACATCAGGGTGTGGTGACACAGGAACTAAACAAGTTAATTTCATAGAGTGATAAGTTCGGTGAAAAAAACAATAGGGTGTGATGGGATTGAAGGAGATGGACTCAGAGAAGGGGAGCTTTAGTGGTTGAAGACTTCCTCTGTAGGGGCCTCACTCATGCCAGGCAGCTGCTCCACCTCTGAGCTACTCCCCAGCCCGAAGGACGTCTGGTCTGAAACGTTTTCCCGAGCAGCCCCTTGAGGAGCCAGGCAGGAAAGATTTGATGTTGCATCACCCCAGGGAAAGAAAATGTGTTTATTTCTCAGAAACACACAGTTCCTGCGTATCTGCAATCCACCCGGCATGCTGCATTGCGTGCGTCATTGCCAACAGCTATGTTTGATTATCTCTGGGTCTCCGACACTGTGCTCTGTTCTTGGCTTATAGCAGAGTCTCAATAAACCCTGAAATGCAGGACTGAAAAGCACTCTATACTGTACTGAGTAACTCACATAATTTCATTTAAAGATGCTGGACGTGGTGGTGCATGCCTATAATCCCAGCACTGGGAAGCTGAGGCACAAGGATCCCAAGTCTGAGCCGATCTGGGCAACTTAGAGATTTAGTGGAACCCTGTCTCAAAATAAACAATTAAAAATGGCTGGGGATACAACTCACTGTGAAGGCCCTGAGTCCAGGTCCTAGTACCGAGGGAGACAAGATCCGTATTCCGTGTACATACACTGCGCATATAGATTTGGAAGAATGGAAGGAGGAGCCGTTTTGTCTCATATCTTGTCCTATAAGATTCCTCGTTTTTTCAGTCCTAGGAATGGAACACCAGGGCCTCAGGCATGCCAGGCAAGCGCTCCCCCACGAAGCTACAGCTCCAGCCCTCAACAAGTTGCATTGTGCTTTTTTGTTTGTTTGTTTTTGTTTTTTGTTTTTCTTCCGGTACCAGGAACCAAACTCACGACCTTGCGCTTGCCAAGCAGGCGCTTTTGCCCCTAAGCTAAATCCCCAACCCCTGCATTGTGCTTTAATTAGAAATTGGCTCTTTGGGGATTCAGAGCACTTTCCGTAGCATGTGTAGGGGCCTCGATCCCAGCACAAAATAATGATCCCAGCAGAAAATAATGTAATTAAATTGGTTTATTATTATTGTTGTTGGTCGCCAGATTTCAATAGGTTATTTGCTTTCAAAAGGAGAATAGAAATTCAAGTTGTTTCACTTATTGCTGTTTTTTGTTTTTTTTTTTTTTTTCCTGGTACCAGGGATCAAACTCAGGACCTTGGGCTTGCCAAGCAGGCGCTTATGCCACTGAGCTGTATCCCCGGCCCTCATTTAGTACTGTCAACAGACCATGTCAAATTCGGTAGCTTCAAGCAACAACCGTGCTGTCCTGTGTCGCACTTCTGTGGGAGGAACTCTGGAGACGCTTGGCTGAGTAACACCGTCGGCTTGGTGGCAGCAAGCAGGGTTACTTGCTTTGTCTCACGAGGGGCAGGACGGCTGCGCTCAGCTCACCCCTGGGGTGGAAACTATGGGAACCCGTCTCAGCGGGCTGTCCCTCCCGTGGTGTCCTCAGTGGCAGACTCTGTGTGTGCTAGCAGCTTCCCCGAGGACAGGCACTCAGGGCTTCTCCTCACCTGGCATCGGAAGCCACCCACGCCACTCAACTCCATTGGTTACCGGGAGTCACAGGCCTCCCCGTTACCAGAGCGGGGACACTGCTATTTAATACAGTGCGCAGGCTTTCCTTGTTTGGGACTGAACGTCTGTCCTGGATGGCAGGTGACAGGATGCCACTCCCTGCTCAGACAGAGGAACCCAGGCAGCTGCTAACACTTCTTACTGCGCGGAGATCAATGCCTCAGGTCCTGTGGCAACTCTGCCATAGCAGTTAGCGCCCAGACTAGCTGGTGAAAACGGGCGGACTCACCGGGAGGGTGCACGCTCTTCTCCAGCCCAGCCGCGCTCTCTGGCCTTGCTAGCCCTCTCTGCTTCCCGGCTGCCATGAGCCGAGCAGCTCTCCTCCAAGCCCTTTGCCATGCAGTTTCTGCCTTGGACCAGCTGATGCTGCAGCCTCTGAAACCACACCAAGTGAACGCTTCCCCTTTCGGTTGTGTATATCAGGTATTTGTTCACAGCAACAAAAAGCCAGCTAAGAAAATTTCCTTTACAGCATGTACCGCAAATGGAAAAATTGGTGTCTCTTATTGTCTCTTGCTTCATAAGAACATGAGAACAAGAGAACAGACCTCGGTCAGTGTTATGTCCCCTCAATATCTGTGTTCAAGTAGCAGTTGCTCAGTAAACATGGCATTTGTTAAATGACTGAGTGTGGCTCGAGGTGAGAAAAACGCGGTGTTCCAGGGTCCTTCAAATGCTTGTGCAGAGCCACTGTGTAGTGATCAGAGCGGATGGAGAAGGGAGAAGCCATAACATTTACTTGCGTATCACTGTAAAGCGCCTGCTTTTTATCCTGAAGGGAAAAGCGAGGAAGAAAGGATTTGGAGTTAGGGAGTGTCGTGCCTAGTTTGGATTTTTAAAAATTCACTGTGGAGACACTGTGATAAATGGGTTGTAATGGAGTCCCACTGCAGGCGAAACGCAGTCGGGAGCACACAAAGTGACCCAAGGAAGAAGTAATGGTACAGGGGTATAAATGACAATAGGGATTAGAGAGGATACAGACCCCCAAAGAGCTCACTTGGATAAGCTGTTTTCTTGTACGAGCCTGTAGGAAACATCTTTAAAGTTACTCTTGTGTTGTACTTAGATTTTGGGGGTTTTTGTTTGTCTTTTTAAGACAGGGTCTCACTATGCAGTTCAGGCTGGCCTTGGACTCACTTTGTAACCCAGGCTGGTCTTGAACTTGAAACGATCCTTCTGTGTCAACCTTCTGAGTGCTGGGATTACAGGCATGCACCACCACGCCCAGCCTTTTGGGGGGTTTTGAGACAAGGTCTCATTATATAGTTCAGGCTGGCCTGGAGCTCGCAGCAGTCTTCCTGCCTTAGCCTCCCAAGTGTGCCACCGAGCCTGCTCTGCACTTAGATTGTTTCCAGTTAGGTGTGGCCCGTTATTAATAAGTCCATTCCCAGAGGAAAATGAATGAATTACAGTAGTGATTTCCAAATTTTGCCAATTATCAGGATCATCTTGAGGATTTGCATAATAATTTAAGAGGGGTGGGTAAGAACAAAGAGCTCTTTAGAAATAATAATTCTACCTGGTTGTGGTTTACTTACCTATAATCTGTTACTTGGGAGGCTGGGGCAGAAAAATCCCAAGTTCAAGGTCAGCCTGGGCAACTTAGTGAGACCCTGCCTCAAGATAAAAAGATACAACGAGCTGGAGCTGCAGCTCAGTGATACCTGCACGACAAAAAAAAAAAAAATTATAATTGAAAGACATCCAAGCAGGCTTTCAGGTATACAGATCTGGAGCTGGAAAGTTCTCAGAGAGATTCAGATTTTAGATTTCTTGGCAAAGGTCTTGTGTGAAACCATAAAGTATTAGATCTTTCTTTATTTGGAGACTGGGTCTCACTTTGTAGCCCAGGCTGGCCTTGAACGCGCAATGATCCTCCTGTCTCAGCCTCCCGAGTGCTGGGATTACAGGCGTACGCCACCACGCCGGAGTGCATTAGATTTGCAGGTGAGAAAGGAGAGAGAATCTTGGAGAGCAGTGATGTTTAAGGGAAGGAAGACACAGCAAAGCAAGGGGAAGACTTGGTAGGGTGGCGGAATGGAGAAAAAGCCAAGACGAGTGCAGTTACAAGAGGTCTGTGGAGTCACAGGCAAAGGGATCTCTGCCTGCAAGACTCTGCTGCCCTCAGAATACCTCACCACCCTATCTAGTGAGTCCCACGCGTAAATGATCTCCGTGATCATCGAAGTCCCCAGCACAGACGTCTTAAAATATACAAATAAAACATTGCTATGTTGGACCCTCTGAATCTGCTCATTTATTTATTGCAGTACTAGAGATGCAGCCCAGGGCCTTCACACTGAGCTGCATTCCCAGCCTCCGCCCCATTTAAAGAGCATTTTACTTTGAGACAGGGTCTTGCTAGGTTGCCCAGGCTGGGCTTGACCTGGCGACCCTCTTGCCTCAGCCTCCCAAGAGAGTGCAGGACTACAGGCGTCACCACACCTGGCACGAACCTGCATTAAAAGACCTTCCCAGAGGACTCTGATACGGAGTTATATCGGGAGCTGTTTTGTCTTTTTGTGTCATTTTTGTGCTAACGATTGAACTTGGGGTCTCGCGCGTGCTAAGCATGTGCTCTTCCCGCAGCAGCCCTGGGAACTATCAACATAAACCACTGCCTTCACCCAAAACAGAGACATTTGATAAAAGGAATGGACAGAGACCTAAAATATGAAAATGCAAGCCATGGGCCAAGCGTGAAATGTCATAACCTCTCATTACATGGACAAAGACAATGCCCAGCTTTCCACAGTTAAGCCTTATAATAATGTCGTAAGAATGAATAAATAAATTCCATTAGTGGAAAAATTTATAATTTTCAAAGTACCAAAAAAACCTGGATAAATAACAAAGAGCTACAACGAAATAATTTATTCTGAAGAAACTTTTCCCATAAATTTCTCATCAAACACAGTAACAATATATACAATCGTAATTGGACGGGAACACATTAAAAATTACTGGGAAAGACAAGGATGAAATTCCAAAACAACTGAAGGTTCTGCGCTTTGAAGAAATCTGGTTTATAAGACAGGAATGTTGATTGCACAAATGACCTAAAGGGTCGGCTAAAACTAAACCTTTCTCATTTCTCCACCCGAGAAGAGAAAAGGAAATATAAAATGTTGAATTTATAAACTCTCCACATGCAAGATTGGTCTGGCTGATTGATTAATAAAGCTAAATGCATTTTTTGTTGAGAGAGGGTTTCGCTTGCACCCTGAACTCCTGGGCCAGGTGTTCCTCCTGCCTCACCGCTTGGGCAGCCCCATACCACCTTGCCTGGCTACATTTTTAAAATAGGAAAAATAACAGACAAAATTTATTACACGGGTAGGGCGTGGGAGTGTTAGACCCCATAAAGGCAACCAATTCTTTAATGTGATTTTTCTTCCCAAGTAACTAACATAAGTTACTAATCAACGATAAATAATTCCATTCCATCAGATTTAAAATGAACTGTCTTGAGAACCAAGTTCCCCTGGCTGAGGAAATAAAACTCTTTTAAGGAACCAGCGCCTTTTTGACAGACTCCGGGACGCGGCTGGCGTAGTAGTCGTAGTTCCTCAGCGCGGCCAGGACCCCGGCGGAGTTCATGTGCTTCACGTCCTTGCTGTACTGGAGGGCGTTGCCGTGGACGTCGGTCAGCTTGCCTGCAGAGAGAGCGCTGTGTGGTGGTCAAGGAGGCTCAGGTCACGGGGCCTAGCACCGAGGGCTGGGGTTTGAATGCAGGGACTGGTGTACGCCAAGCACACGCTCCACCACTGAGCTGTACCTCCAGCCCGCTTTAGTTGTTTTATTTTTTGTTCAATTTTTGAGACAGGTCTCGCTATGCAATTCAGGCTGGCCTTGAGCTCACTATGCAGCCCCGGCCCTGCCTGGCCTCAAACTCGTGGGTCCTCCTGTCTCAGCCTCCCAAGTGCTTAGACTACAGGCGTGCGCCACCATACATGGCTCTGTTGGATTTTGTTTTAAAGATTTTTGGTGCTGGAGCTGGGACCCGGGGCCTCAAGCCTTCAAGGCAAGTGCTGCACTGCTGAGCTGCCGCTCAGCCTCTGACAAGGACTTAACAGACGCTTATCTCTAGGAACATATGAGAGCTCTTGTCTACATGAAATGGAAAATCACCTTAATGTGTATATATGTGCAATGTATTTCTAACTCCTTCATCTTTAAAACTGGAACCGAGATACTCACCGATATGACTTCAGAGGGAATTAAGTGTATATCTTTACTGTTCTGAAAAAAATTAACTGAGGAGTGCCTGTGATGGTGAACACTTTACTTTTAAAGGGACAAAAATCTCCAAGAGCATTAAAACTGTAAGTAAGAAAGAGGAACCAAGATCTGCTATGCAGGCGCAAATTCCTTATGATGAATGTGATCGATATGTATGACAAATGCGTACAAAAAAATTAGTTAAAAAATAAACGGCAAGTAAGAGCTGAATTAAAAATAACGGTATGTGGATCTAAGTCAAAAAGGGACAAAAAAACCCCAAATTTTCTGAAAACCGACTTATTTATGAGACATGGGCTCCCGCTGGGACAGCCTCTCGGCTTCCGCAGTGAGGGGCAGTGCTGGACCAGGACGGGAGGCCCCAGCAAAACATACGACCGCAGCTCTTCAAGGCACACTCACCTCCCACCGCGTGCAGGACAACTTCCGGTGCACACGTGTCCCACTTCTTACATCCGGGGCTTGCAAACACGTAAGCGGAGGCCTTGCCTTCGATCAGCTGAATGATCTGGAAGGTTGGAAGTGCGAATTATCCCTGGCCCAGGAGCAGGCTGCAGACGCGAGGTCCCCTCCATGGTCCTCTCTTCCACCACCGCTCTGCCAGACCTCGCTCGCACTCAAGCCTCTACCCAGTTAGAGGGTGCCAGGATTATGAAGACATAAATAAAGGTGCATAATAACCTTCATCAACCTGAAGGGGAACAGACTGGCCAAATACACTCCAAGGAAGGTACCTGAGCAGTCTCCAGATTACAGTTAGATGAAATAAAGTTTTGTGTTCACATTGCATTTTTCATACTATAAAAGCAATATGTTTGTTACAGAATAAAGCTTTTTACATTTCTAAAAAATTGGCCATTACTTTTTTTTTTTTCCTGGTACCGGGAATCGAACTCACGACCTTGCGCTTGCCAGGCAGGCGCTGTGCCGCTGAGCTAAATCCCCAGCCCCGTGGCCATTACTAAATAGGGCAAAGCCAGGCACGGTGGCCCACACCTGTAATCCCACCATGAGGTAGGCTGAGGCAGGAGGATCGTTGGGAGTTCGAGGCCAGCCTGGGCTACAAAGTGAGCTCAAGGCCAGCCTGGACTGCATAGCGAGACCTAGTCTCAAAAAGACATAAAATAATAAATAAATAAATAAATAAAGAGAGCAATACCACATAGTGTCGTGATGTCTGCATTGCAGTAAGGCCTCACCGATGTGCAGCACTGACTTGTCCCACGAGCACGCCCCTAATGCTCCAGAATGTCCTGCTGCTGCTGCTTTTACCCACTTTTGTGTGTTTGTTTTTTGAAACAGGGTCTCACCATCTCCCTGTGTAGTCTAGGCTGGCCTTGAATTTTTGTTTTTGTTTTTGGTTTTTTTGGTTTTTCTCCGGTACCGGGAACCGAACTCACGACCTTGTGCTTGCCAGGCAGGCGCTTTTGCCGCTGAGCTAAATCCCCAGCCCCTGGCCTTGAATTTTCAGCGATCTTTCTGCCTCAGCCTCCTGAGTGCTGGTTACAGGTATGCGCCGCCACGCCCAGCTTAGGCTGGGGTTTTAAATCGCTGAGACAGGGAATCAGCTCGGGACTTGGGGCAGGGCAGGAACCTGCATGTTTAATTGTTCTGCTGGAGCCTGTGCCTTGGGAGTGGCCATCTTAGAAGCCACGGAGGCCATGAAGCACGTGATGAAGACGTTCCCCACGTCCACTCCCCAGTGGAGCGGAAGACAGGAGGCGTGGGGGAGCGCCAGGGTCCACAGGCAGGGCCGTGGGGCAGGAGAGGGGCTGCTGGGACAACAGGGACGCAGTGGAGGTGCCCATGGGACACCAAGGGACAGGAATGTGGCAGGCAGGACCAGGAGGAGTGTGACTCACGCGCCGGCCTGAGCGAACCCAGGATCAGAGCAGGGCCGGGGCAGACAGCAGCTGTGTCCCCTTCAGAGAGCCCAGCGGCTGGTGGCCGGGAGCAGGGCGGGGGTACAGGCAGGTGCTGGCCAAGGCCTGCAGGAAAGGGTCTTGGCAAGGACCCCCAGCACCCCTGGGGACCTGCTGGCCTCCCTCACAGACATACAGAATCACTCCTGACACCCAGGGACCCTGAGCCTGAGGTGGGGGAGACACGAGCCTTGCATCTTTTAAAACTGGGGTGTTGCAGAAATGAGCTTTCTACGGCAAATGACCATCTTCGATCCCCTCTCTCCAACTCTTGTTTCACACTGTAGAAACCCTCTGCATTTCTGCCGGTGGCCTCGCTGCCCGGCCTGGCCGCCTACCTTGTTCCCCGCGCCGCCCACGCGCAGCACAGCGTCGGGCTCCATGGCCTGCACGCAGTCCATCACCAGCTGGCTGCCATGCGAGCGCGTGGTGGTGACAATGTGCTTCCCGGCGGGGGCTTCCTTCAGCTGGAACCCGAAGGCGCCCAGCCCCAGCACCGCCCAGATCGTCCTCCCCAGCACGGCGTCGGGTCCCGCCTGGGAGATAGCAACAGAGCTCGTCACCGCGAGAAAAAGACGCACACGGCAGTACGCGCAGTCTCAGTAAGGCTCGGGACGCAGCGTACTACCTTAGAAAAATAAGAACCTCATCTACAGTACAGCATCCCTGGCAAAGGGCCAAGGACTTTTCCCCCGCGGAGTCAGGGGATTAGTCTTTATTTTTTTGAGTCAGGGTCTCATTCTGTAACCCAGACCGGCTTCAGTGAAACTCGCAATTCTCCTGCCTCAGCCTCCTGAGTGCTGGGACCACAGGCACGTGCGGCCATGCCCGGGCGGGTGTTTCTTCTGTTGTTCTTGTTAACGGTTTCGAAGATGCGAAGGGAGCTTGTGCTCACCCTCCAGAGTCCTTGAAGGGAAATTTCATGTACTGATTACTGTTTCTGTCGTAGTCAGCCAATGATCTGTTTGTTGTATTGAAAATGGCCATTTGCAAAGGAACCAAAGAACGCTTGCTGATCCCTCCTTTCCTTATGTGTGCCGCCGTGTCGCTATGGCGACAGCAGAGAACAGGCTGGTGCCGAGTGCAGCCGGATGCGGGGTCAGGGCTCACGCTCCCTGGCAGCTGGCTCCCCTAGTAAGATGACATGATGACTGTGTCCTGCAATCTTAGCCTCTCACTTCCCCTCTCAGAGCTCAGAGAACTCGGTCACACTGCCGTAACTACGCTCCCTGGAGAGAGCCGCAGCCTGTATTTCAGGTACGGCACAACCGAGGCCTAAGAGTCCCAAGTCGTCCAGGCGGCGTTCACACACTACACGTGCATCGCATGCCTCAGCCACGTGCAGACCCGGCACAGCTCCACACACTCACATGCATTGCCTCTCACTCTCCAGCAGCCCCACCGAGCAGATGTTACCCTCTTTACTTTAAAGATGAAAGAAGTTGATTTGGAATCACTGAATAATCTGACTGAGGATTCTAGGAAGTGCATCGTCAAACCCAGCTCCTCCTTATTCAAAACTAACTTTTTTTCTTTTTGAGACAGGTCTCGAATGTTACCCAGGCTGGGCTCAAATGATCCTCCTGCTTCAGCCTCCTACACAGCTAGGAGTACAGGCATGCTCCCCTGTGCCTGCTAGGATAACCCAGGACCTTTGCACTGAGTTAAATTCCTAATCCTATGAAAAATTTTAAGATAGGGTCTCAGTAAATTGCCCAGACCAGGCCTGAACATGGGATGCTGTCTCAGCCTCCCGGAGCGCCAGGAATGACCAGACCAGACGGTGGTCTTCACCACTGATACAGCCTGCCCGAGCTCAGTTAGCGTTCAGACATCACCCTGTCTGTCCTGGGGCTGCTCCCGGTGCCATCCGAGTGCAGGAATACGTTCAGTTCCTGCTGGCTCCAGATGCAGGGACTTCTAGGGGCAGCTTGGCGAGCACCCCGGGGGAGCAGCAGCCAAGCCTACGGAGCCCTGGGGCCGGAGCCCCGCAGGGTCCCAGCCCGGGACGAGATGCTGCCCAGCAGCCCCTGCACATGGCCCTGTGTGACTCCGGGGGACACAGCATGGGACAGCACGGCTTCCTGAACAGGCTGCCGGCCGATTGCACCCCCCGCAAAAGCTGAGAACTGGGTGCCCAGCATCCAGTGTGGGCCCCAGCTCCCTCTCAGGTCTGCAATGCAGGACAGGGCGGGCCGAGGGGCACAGAGCCAGGGTGGCCCGGCCCCCAGGTGTTGCGCTGATCTCGGAACCTAACCCGGGCTCCCGAGACAGCTAGCATCCCGCTGTCCTTGAGAGAGGAACGTACTCGAGACAGGGGCTCGGGTGTCCCCAGAGTCACCCTCCTTCTGCTCACGGACAGGCGGCGCCTGGCGCGGGAACCTGGTGCCCTGGAGAGGCAGCTGTGACCTACAGTGCAGCCGCTGGCTCCCCGCGCTCCGGGTCTGTCCCCAGGGACCTCATTCCTTCGAAGGCTCCAAACTCCTTTCCTCTTGTTGTGTTTTAGTGTTTTTCAGACATGGTCTCACTGTGTAGCCTAGACAGGCCTGGAACTCACGATCCTTTTGCCTCAGCCTCTGGAGGGCATGGCTTACAGATTAGTTTTCGGAGGCAATGGAGGATGACTTTTCATCTGGTGGCTGAATTAAGGTCCATAATGGCAGCAAGACATGGTGGTCCATGCCTGTAACCCCAGCAACTGGGAGGCTGAAACAGGAGGAACAGGACTTTGAGACCAGCCTGAGCAATTTAGCAAGACTGCCTCAAAAAGAAGACTAGTCAGGACAAGGGTGCACCCCTGTAATCCCAGCATTCTGGGAGGCTGAGGCAGGCGGATCACAAGTTTGAGGCCACCCTGGGTCTTGAAATTAGCAAGAACCTGTCTCCAACAAAACAAAACCAAACAAAAAGGGCGAGGGATATGGGCCGCACGAGGCCCTGGGTTCGGTCCGGCACAGGACACCCGATGGCAAAGGCACAGCTCTGAGTGCAGGGGCAACGTGCACTGTACCCTTCCTCCAGGCCCACTGGCTGCGGGGCGTCGCATGCGAAGCCGAGGCTGGGATTCAGTCTCGTGGCCTGGGGGAGCCACCCTAGAGGCACAGTAGGCTTTGGCCCTGCCTGCACCCCAGCTGTGCGGTCACTCGGGCCGGCTCTCTGCCTGAGAAGGGGTCAGGGCTCCCCTGGCTGCGTGAGTACTCCAGACATGCATGTGGGTCCCCGAGCCGGCTGTGTGCGGCCAGCTCCGGCCCTGACGCACTGTAGCCTGACAGTCAACCGCTGAAAGAAGCCGAGGCCAGAGCAGGAGAGAAGGAAAGCGAGGACACAGCGCGTCCAGAGGGGACGCAGCAAGGGACAGCGCAAACAGGACAGTAGGGTGGGGCCGCGGGGCCACGGGGCCGCACCGGCCCCTCCTCTCCCCTCCGTGCAGCCAGGCCCTGGCCTCCTCACCTCCGCCTCCTCGCTGAGCTCTCTGAGCGTCTGCTTTTCATCGTTCTGTGGAGAATGAACACAGTTTCTCTCATCTCCAAAAGAAGGGGAGAAAATTAGCAACAAGCCCGAGGCACTCAGCTCTTTCCTGCCGCTGAGAGGCCCCATGCAGTACACAGCTGCTCCAGGAAGCCCATCAGAACTAATCGCAGGGCCACACTTTCAAGCTCACAGGAGCCCCAAACCTCTGTCCGCATAAATACTGCGTACATGTTAATGCACACTGTCGTAATGGACGCCCAAGAAATTTAGTATGTGAGGCTTGCCTGATAATGCATACCTATTTTGCTAAGTCCTAAGAACGAAGTGATTTTAAATAAAATTTCAAATCATACAAATGGGGCTGGGGATATAGCTCAGTGGCATAAGTGCCTGCCTGGCAGGCACAAGGTCAAGTTCAATTCCCAGTACCAAATAAATAAATAAATAAAATCATACAAACGGCAGGAAAAAACAAATTCTGTTTGTTTTTTTTTTTTTTTTTTTTTTTTTTTTTTGAGACAGGGTTTTGATATGCAGTTTAGGCTGGCCTGGAGCTCACTTTGTAGCCCAGGCCGGCCTCAAACTTGCAACCACTCTCCTGCCTCAGTCTCCCAAGTGCTGAGATTACAGGCATGCGCCACCCCTCCCGGCCAAACTATAGCCTTCAGGTCCTCCATTTAATTATTTTTTATTTTTTATTTTTTGGTACCGGGAATTGAACTCACAACTTCGCAGTGCCAGGCAGGCACTGTGCCGCTGAGCTGTATCCCCGGCCCACAAATTCTTAGTAAAAATCAAGCCTAATCCTGCTCTTAAATCAGAGATTCCTTAATACTAACCTCAACACTACTTTGTTTCTCCAAAGTTCTATCAAGGTTGCATTACTATAATAAATAGAAATACCTGAAGTATTTCCTCTCAGTAACTTCCTCTGAAATTGTTCAATGGCATAGTCACCGTTTGAAACGACACAAGTCTCTTGCTTCTTTGGGTGGAAGGCACCAGTGATGGAACGCGGGGATTCTGCACTGAGCTGCATCCCCAGCCCTTTCCAAAAATTTTTTATTTGGAGACACAGTCTTACGAAGCCACCAAGCTGCTTTGGCTGGGCTTGAACTTACAACCCTCCAGCCTCAGCCTCCAAGAACACTAGGGTCAGCTGCGAGAATCTCGCTTTCAAGGAAAACAATGTCTTTGAAGGACAATGGAAAGTCAAAGCAGACGAGAGGAAATGAAAGAGAACAGAGCGCAAGAGCATAGTTAGCTGCTGCGGAAACTGACTGTCATTTGTGCTCTGTGCCGCATTACCTGGGAAGCCACACGACTAGTGCCCCATCTTGGTTGAAATGGTTCACTTCTTCAATGTGCTTCAAGAAGCACCTGTAAATCAGGTGTCCTGATGACCATGCTAATCAAGAACCACACGAGTAATTCCCACGCTTTTGCACTTGTATCCTAAGTACATAAAAAGTACAACACACACAGTGTCCATGTGCACGTGTATCCCGTATCTGATATCCGATATCTGTACGTATTCATTCCTGGTGCAAATGCCTGGGTTCTGATTGCACAGGTTCAGGCAGCACCTGGGAATCCACGCTGTGAAGACTTCTGTAACCAAGTTGGGAACCCCTGAGTGGAATGGCATCAGGAGTCATGTGACACGGTGATTAATGTTGTAATAAGGTATTTTGGTGTCACTTATAACAATACCTGGTAGTTGTAATAGGGCTGGTTAATGATCCCTGCTATGGCCTTCCCTTTGTAGGCGATTCCGATGAGAACGGTCACGTTGTCGAGGAGACCTACAAAGGAGAAAGGTCAATTCTAGATCTTTCTCAGGCTATAACTCTTCGGCAGCACATCAACTGCCTCAAGCTATTTCTCCAAGAAAGATAACGAGCCGGTGTGCACCTGAGTGCTGAGTGCACATTCCCATCTATCGGTCTGTCTGTCTGTCCGTCTGCTGTCTATTTTTCTGGTACTGGGAAGCCTGAGCTACATCTTCAACCTTTTTATTCTTTCTTTTCAGACAGGGTCTTACTAAATCATTATTCATCCATGGTCAATGATTAATCCATGGTGAAACGCACAAATTATAAGAGAGCTGGCCAGAGACAGACAGAGTGAATCAAAGCCTCTGGAGTAGGAGTTAAGACCCAGGTAAGCTTTCTACCTTCTGTTAATACCCATTAAAGCTGTTGGAGTGTCCTTATTTATCAATGGACAAGTTGTTTTGCTTTGTTTTGTTTTGAGGTAGAGTCTCACTATAGTGCAGGCTGGGCTTTAACTCACTATGCAGCCCATGCTGGCCTGAAACTCTCTGCGATCCTCCTGCCTCAGGCTCCTGAGGGCTGGGATTACAGGCATATGCCATCACACCCAGCTTCCCCATCTCAATGATCATGGATGTGATCAGTGATAATAACAGCTGCCAAGTCGTAGGAAGAGGCATAAGCCACTATGCCAGCTTTCCAAATAACACACAAACTATCGGATTTTACAGCAAAGTGTCCTGGCCCAGCCTTACTACTGTGAAACAAGAACAATAACAAAAGAGATACCTTCAGTGTACTCCTTGGTGCCGTCCAGAGGATCAACCCAAACCACAAGCTAAGAAATAGAAATGTTACACAAGGAGATCAAGCATAAAGTCACACAGAATTCCACCACTTTTAGATAGTTATAGAATGGTCCTAGACATAGGATAGGGACAACCTGCAAAATGGGACAACGTGTGCTTTCAACTGACTTTTATGCATCAGTCCTGATTTTTTTAAAAGTCTGATTTCCTTCAGGACATAGCCAGATGAGCCAACAGAAACGAACGTTTTGTGAAACTGACAGTTGCTTAGGAAGCCAGTTCCTTCTTCTCAGGGCTTTCCGCGCGCTGCAAGGCAGGCTGCTGCTAACCACTAGAATCACAGCCTGATGGGACTCTGTTTGTTGAGTGCACATTTCCATCTGTCTGTCTGTCTGTCTGTCCATCTATTTTTTTGGTACTGGGAAGCCTTTTCAGTGAGCTACATCTCCAATCCTTTTTATTCTTTCTTTTCAGACAGGGTCTTGCTAAATCATTAAATTACCCAGGCTAGGCTTGAACTTGGAACCCTCCTGCCTCAGCATCCCAGGGTGCTGGGATTACAGGCGTGTACCAACCAGACCCGGCGAGAGCACATTTCTGACGGAGAACACCATGCCTCCGTCTTTTTGTACCCCCCACACCACAGCGCACAGTGCCCTGCTCAGCGGTGCGAATTCAGTCAGTGTGTGTTAAATCATTTAAGGGTGGAAAACTGCAGAAGGATGGCCAAGTCTGGAGCCACGGATTAATTTAGGTCACACAACTATAAAAAGTGAGACGATGTGTCCAGCCCCCTACAAACATCAGAGAGGAAGCTGTTTCATCTCCTTCCAGCCCCGATTACCTACAAAGAAGTGCTTTTTGCGTACCAGAGTGGAACGCAGGCCCTCACGTGCACTAGGCAAACGCTTTACTCTGAGCCACCACTTTGCGCTTTTGTTTTTTCATTATAAGACAGCGTCTTACTAAATTCCTGAGGCTGGCCTCAAACGTGATCTTCCTGCTTCAGCCTCCTGAGTTGTCACACTCAATTCAATGAAAGCTTTTACTACCACATCTACTATACAAAAAAAAAAAAATTTTGTCTTCCTAAAAGTATTTTTAATAATGGTTTCAGGGTGCAAAGGAAGGAAACCTATTAGATGAGAAGTGGGACTTTGAATCAACAGCACAGATGTCCCACATGGCTAAAGGGTACTTCTTGGATGGCTCTGAAAGATCTTAGGTTTCTGGCCAGATGTGGTGGCACACATCTATAATCCCAGCCGTCAGGAGGCTGAGGCAGGAGGATCAATGTAAATCTGAGGTCAGCCTGGGCTACACAGTGACTACAAGACCAGCCTGAACTGCACAGAGAGATCCTGTCTCAGAAGTAGAAGTACTGACTTTTCATCTGCTCTGCTATGGCAAGAAGCAGAGATTACTAGCGCCTGAAGCTGGAAGCTGGCCCTTACGTCCTCCTCTTTAATGGCGAGGTACTGTGCCGGGCATGGCTTCTTCAGGATCTCCTCCCACTGGCCGTCCTCGATGAGCTCCTGGTCCACATCCTCTGGGGGCAGATCCTGCGCCAGAGATAAGGACAGTGCGGACAGTTACTGCAATGCTAAGGGTCTGCCGAGCGTCCTGCAAACAAGGCGACAATCATACTTTGCTAGTCCTTGTTTTTACCATGTATGTTTAGGTCTTTCAAAGCAAATCTAAGAAAACCACAAGGTCCACTACATGTGATTCACCAAAATTGGCTACTTGGTCCCAATGTCACCATCCCGAGCAGGGTTTAGAAAGAAAAGATCTTTTGTTTCTAAACTTATTTAAAGAAACGCACTAAAAAAAAAAGAAAAGGAAAGAAACATACTTTATTCGCAATTAGAAGAGATATCTAAGAGCCAGGCATGGTGGTACACTCCTGTAATCCCAGTACTTGAGAGGCTGAGTCAGGAGGATCACCATGAGTTTGAGGCCAGTCTGGGCTACACAGTGAGTTCAAGGGCAGCCAGAAGTACATAGTGAGACCCTGTCTTGAAAAACCGACCTTTCCCTCAAAGAAGAGAAGGGATCTCTATTCTTTCACTTTCAAAGTGTGCCGGTCTTTGGATACGCAGGCACGCGAGCCTCCTTTAGACACAAACAACAGAGCTCATTCTCTTTCAACCTTCTACTCTGTGCGTCTTTCTTATTTTACTCTGTGGCACCGGGTGTGAAGCCCAGTGCCTCGTGCTTGCTGAAAGGACGCCCTGCCAGGGAGCCACACCCCTTGACCCAAACACTGCCCCTCCCTTTGTGGCACTGGTGCTGATTCCGGGTCCGGGTCTGCCCCATCCCAGGCTAACCACAGCAAGTACTGCAACTGTATTGGCGCCGTTCAATGGAAGGCATCAAGACACAGCCTAGAAAGGGACCAGAACAGCTCCCGGGGAAGGGTTTCCCCTAGGAAGTACGGCAGCACTTGTGTGCGGCGACACTGGGTCCGACAGCTGAACTGTCAGAGCACTGTAAGCCACCGCCGTGCCAGGTACCGACCAGGACGGTGGACGGATAAAGGGAACCTCGCGCCCTCAGGCGTACCTCCTCCCCGATGATGGTCAGCTTGGGGAACTTCCGCACCAGGGAGGAGCAGATGCTCATCTGCACCAGCCGGTCTGCTCTGGTCTGCAGGTCCGTGGCGCAGGTCTGCAAGGAAGGGTGCAAACCTCACTGAACAGCGCGAAATCGGACTTCTATACGCACAGGCATCTGCGCAGTTCACATCCCACCAGAACCTGACACAAAGACAGCCAGTGAACTTCCGGCTTTTCTTCTCGTGGGTCACTTGTGGATACAGTCCCGAAGAGAAGGGTTTGTCAATTGTTTTTTCATGTGGTGCTGGGGAAACCCAGGGCCAGCACTTGTCAGCTAAGTGCTCTATCGTGGGCTACACCCCCACCCCAATGCAGCTGAAGTTTGGAAAGCACTTTTAAATCATGTAGAATATTTTCTTCCCTGGTTCAAATTTTTTTTTCCCCCTCTTTCTTTTTGAGACAGGGTCTCGTTATGCAGTTCAGCTGGCCTGGAGCTCACTTTGTAGCCCAGGCTGGCTTTGAACTCGCAATGATCCTCCTGCCTCAGTCTCCTGACTGCTGGGATTACAGGAGTGCGCCACCACGCCAGGCTGAAAAATTTCATTTATAAGATCACTCAAATGGGAGAGGGACCAAAAGACAGTGAGAGGAAGTAGAAAGAACTGAGAGGTGTTAGGTACCAGCACGAGCTCCCCACAAGGAATTGGGTCACTGCACTGCAAACATGCACCACTAACAATAAAGATTTAAAATAGAAAACGGGTTAAAAGATAGGAAATTTATAATACTTTAGCTTTTATTTTTATGAGAAGCACATGTCTGCATTACACAATGATCACGTTCCCTGTGGGACAGTGGGGACCTGCACATAACGGATCTCAGTTCCTTTTCCACTGCCCCCATCTCGTTCTCCTCGTTAGAGAAAGCTCCACCTCCCTGCTTCCTGTTATCTCGCTTTCATTTTGCTCTTTGTTTATATTTTGGGTTTCTCATATAATAGATCACAAGTGTGTGCCCTGCCAGAGCAAGTTAGTCACATAGAGAAAATCGGTCTCAAAAATTTTTTCAGGGCTGGGATGTGGCGGAGGTAGAGCCGTTGTCTTGCATGCACAAGGCCCTCAGTTCGATCCTTAGCACCACATAGAAAAAAATTTTTTTCCCAGCAGCCATGGTGGTGCCCATCTATAATCCCAGCACTAAGGAGGCTGAGGCAGGAGTATTGCTGTGAGCTGGAGGCCAGCCTGGGCTACACATTGAGTTCACGCCCAGCCTGAACTACAAGGCAAGACCCTGTCTCAGTAAGCCAAAAAATTTTTTTGAACTTTATAGTTGTTTGTTTTGTTTTGTTTTTTTCCTGTACCGGGAACTGAACTCACGCCCTCGCGCTTGCCAGGCAGGCGCTGTGCTGCTGAGCTAAATCCCAGCCCCTACAGTTGTTTTTTACTTTTCCATGAATCCGAGTTTGCACACATACTGATTGCATTCATTATGGAAACTGGCACACGGGCACAACACCTCTTGGTTCATTTTCCCTTCCCCGCCAGCCCCCTTTGAGGCGAGCATCAGATTCATTTATTTACAAGTCCTTATAAAGTCAACTACCACACACACGGATTAACAGCTGACCAATAGGCCAAAGACCATTTCCAAGGCAGGACGGACCTCGCTGAACAAGGACCCGGCGCCCTGCGCAGGGAGCGCCTGCTATCGGAGTCTGCACTAGGGAAGACAGCGCCAAGCTCCGCCTCCGCGCGGAGGGCCAGGGCTGCGTGCGGGCTGCGGTACCTTCTCCACGATGCCCAGGTCTCCCTCGGCAATCACGCGTCTGACGATCACCCCAGCCTTCTGCGCGATGGAGTAGGCCGAGGCCACCAAGCGCATCAGCACCGTGGGGCCCGAGGCCATGGCTGGCTGTGGGAGAGAGGAGGGAGACTGCTGCGCTGGCGCCGGTGCACTTACCCAGTGCTTCCCGGCCTGGCCCCGGAGCTGCGTGGGACATCCGATGTGCATGCCCCAGAAGCCAGGCGGGGAAACCCTGTCGCGTTGCTTCTCTTGTGGATGGATCGTTTCACAGCACGGGAGAAACTGGCCAGGCTGCTCAGCGTGTGAGGAAGCTGTGTGTGTGAGGTGTGTCACATGCAAAGGCCCCGAAGATGCCTTTGAGCGGCTCACGCTTTGGCGGGTTGTGGTGCAAACCATGTAACCCAGTGAATGTAACATAAAACTGCTCGGGGCCAGGCAGGTGTGGTGCACACCTGTAATCTGAGCACTCAGGAGGGTGAGGCAGGAAGGTAGCAAGTTCCAGCCCAGCCCGGACAACTCAGTGACATTGTATCTGAAAGTAAAACTTGTTAAAAAGGGGTGGGGATGTAGCTTGGTGGCAGAGCGTTTGCCTAGCATGTGTGAGGTCCTGGGTTCAATCCCAACTCCGCAAAAACAAACAAACGAACAACCAGGTACAGGTGTCACAGGGGTTGATGTGCACAAGGGACTGGCTCAGGGCAGAGCTGGCCCACCACTGGGGAGTCCTGCCTTCCGCCCCAGGACTGTGTCAAAGGGGGCCGTATGCCCGTGAGTACAATTACCTTCTAAAAATCAGTGAATATTCTTTTACAGCCTAAACAGCTCTCGTCTCTTTTACTTTCCCCATCTCCGTGGTAGACAAGCAACAACTGGAGGAGCTGAAAAGCAGCCGAAGGAGGACCCAGCCTCCTGTCACCCCGCACGGCCTGGCGTGGTGGTGCACACCTGTAATCCTGGCACTTGGGAGGCGCCGGCAGGAGCACTGCCGTGAGTGTGACGCCAGGCCAGGCTACATAGCAAGACCCTGTCTCAAAAACCTAGAGAGAAACAAAATTGATGTATGGTAATGCATACCATACTTTGGCCAATAGCTGTTTGGAATTATGATGACAATGAAATGGGTTTCTAGGAAGTATTTTAGTTGCTTATTATATAATTTTCTTGACATATGAGGGGTTACACATGGATACGCTTGTTTGTGATGATCATTAGTAATTCGGGATCACTGCGAACAGAAATCTAACAGATACTTCCTGGGCCTTATTTCTACTCCTGTGTACCCACGGCCAGCGGGATGTCTGACCTGCTCCGCAGTGGCACCTGGTCTTCAGGCAACCAGGGGGCCGCGCCCGGGTATCTCTGCGCGCTGGCGTGCACCGTCCAACCCTGTTACATAAGACTCCCTTTGAGACAGGAAGATCGCTGCCCTCGCGAGAGGGTGTGGCGCTGACTTTCCAGATCCCGTGCTTCCCTCTGGGCAGCTCAGCAAGCCTTCCTGGGACTGAGCCGCGTCCCTGTGTGCTGAGGCTGCCAACCTGCACACAACTTGGAGGTTTTCCGCGTCTTCCTCCTTCCTCACAAACCATGCGCTGTGCTTACTAAGCACCATCGAAGGCTGACGTCCATTATAAGACAGAATGCAAAAGAAGAATACGAAAATGCGGTCTAACGTCAGGGACAGCAGTGACTTTTCAACCCCACAAGTCACTCTGAGTCGGGAAGGTGGAAACCTCCCTACCATTTTTCTCTGCAGGACACACTTCCGAGGTGTACCCTGCAGTAGTAATGATCTGTCACTGTCCTCCAGTCCCAACGGTTTTCTTAAATGTTTTTTTTTTAAACAAATAGATTCACTTTTGGTTCTTAGCATAAGGAAAATACACTTAAGCACAGCATCAAAGCCCAGTGCCTGCAAAAGGCATTCCTACTAGCCTTTTAGTCCTGTTCACCCAGGGCAGAAAAGAGAACCGCTGTCTGTCGTGACAGCTGGGTTAACAACCAGGCAGAGCGCCGGGGATATAGCTCAGCGGCACAAGCACCTGCCTGGCAAGCGCAAGGTCCCGAGTTCGATTCCCCATACCAAAAAAAAAAGAACCAGGCAGAACCAGCAACAGGCTCAGGCAGTTTCAAACTACGCCCCTGTCTTCCCTCTGGATCTTAAGCCTCTCCTCTGGGATCGCGCCTTCCTAGAGGCTGAGTCAGAACACTGCCGTGGTGACAGCGCTGATTCTGGTGTTACAGCTGTGGTCACGTTCTGGCCTGCGGTGTGTGACCTGGTAAAGCCACTTCAACCCTCCAGGGTTGGACTTCAAGACCTGCGGCTCTGTGTACTCGGATGAACATGCAACCGTGGAAGCACCATTCCCACGCGGGTTCTTAGTTCTGGCTATCAGATGGGGCATGGGACGGCGTCAAGGACAAAGTTCCCACACTTTCTGCAAAGATCCTTGACTTAAGGGTGTAAGATCACAACTACTATGCCTCTTAATCACACACAGGTTCCTTTTCACACCCTTCTTGGCTTAAGGCTTAAGTAAATGATAAAGGTTGCTTTTTTATTTTTTTGGGTCCCGGGAATCGAACTAGGACCTTTGCTTGCCAGGCAGGCGCTTGTACTGCTGAGCTCTATCAGCAAGCCTGGTTGCATAGCTTTTAAGGCAACCAAACTAACCCCTATCCATTTAGGAAATCTTTGAGACAAAGTCTTGCTGGTGGTCTAGACTGTTCTTGAATTCACTATGTAATTTAGGCTAACCTTGAACTCATGGCATCTTCCTGCCTCAGCCTCCAGGGTGCTGGAATTACAGGCATGCACCAGCATGCCAGCTAGCATTTAAGAAATCTTTACAGGGTTGAAAATGTAGCTCTGTGGTAGAGCCCTTCCTTAGCACACTCATGGGCCTGGGTTTGATCCCCAGCACTGCACAAACCAAAGCAAAACAAATCAAAAGAAAACAAAGTAAAACACAAAGTACAACTACCAACAAGGCTAATTCAGCAGGGTGAAAAATCACAGGAATCAAACAAGCAGTTTCTTCTCACAGCCTAGGCGAGGTATCTCGGTGGGCATGGGAGGGATTAGCATTTAAAATGACCAAAGTCCTCCCAATCAAAATGCTGAAATCATTTTCCTTTTGGAACCTGGCCAAATGATGCTAAAGTTCAAGGTCATCTGGAAAATGAAAATGTGAACATGACCAGCAAATTCTGAAGAAGAACAAGGAAGAGAGAGACTTCCCTTCCCAGGTATCAGAATGGGATATAAAAGCACACTTCAGACAGATAATCCGAATCAAATAAATTCCAGAGATAAATCCAAATACACTAGGGGTGATATTTAGAAACCAAAGAAGAAAGTCAGTTGCATGTAAATGGTAGGCAATTGCTAACTTGTTTTAAAAAAAATGGATTTTTTTGTATTCTTTATATAAAAATACACTCTGGGTCAATAAATAGCGTTTTTTTGTTGCTTGGTTTTTTTTTTTTTTTTTTGGTCTTTTTGAGACAGGGTCTCGCTACATAGTTCAGGCTGGCCTTGAGCTTACTTTGTAGCTCAGGTTGGTCTCAAACTCGCAGAGATCCTCCTGCCTCAGCCTCCCAAGTGCTGAGATTACAGGGCTGCGCACCACACCCAACTTTTTCATAAACAATTTTGAATTAAAACTAAAACATGAAACATAAGACTACAGAGATGTTTTACAAACTTGGGAGGGCCTTGAACGCACAAAACCAAGAATTCATAAAATACACTATACTGATGAATATGCACAAAAAAGTAAAACTTCTGTGTAGCCAAAATACCCCAAAGTTAACAGATAACTGAGAAAAGGAGAGAAAAAAAAGTCTGTGCCACACACTAGACGACCGAGCTCACCTTTAAAGGGCTCTATGGATCAGCAGCCAGAGACGAATAGTCCAGGGGAAAACGGGCCAAGGAAGCAACAGGAACCTCGAGAAAAACACAGGAAGGCTCAGCTTCACTGATTGTGAAAGCAAGGCGAGAAAAGCAGGCGAAGTGGCTGCTCATGTTTCAGACTCGCACGACGGACGGTTCTCAGAGGATGAGGAACTCGCTCCCGAGCACCCCAGGAGCAAACTTCTCAGGCGGCCGAGAACCTGAACAAAGGTACTGTGCAGACGTAGGGAAACCCCCGCACAGCAGGCATGCCTGCAAACCCGCACAAAAGCAACCGGAAGCACTTGCTGTCACAATGAAATTTAGTGTTAGGTGGAAGAATGTCTAAACTTGGGTGCATTAAGGAGGTCAGTATCTAGCTGGGAAACTACCCCGGGGCACAGATAAACGAAATGTTCACACTCGCTGGCGTGGTGGTGCACATCTGTAATCTCAGCACTGGGGAGGCTGAGACAGGAGGATCGCCGAGAGTTGGAGGCTACCCTGGGCTACACAGTAAGGTCAAGGCCAGCGTGGACTACATAGCGAGACCCTCCTTCAAATCTCCAATAAAAAAGCAAAGAAAATGTTGACACCAAGCTTGTAACGGAGATGTCTGGAGCGGCAGCATGATTCGCATAAACTTTTTTTTTTAACGTAAATCCCTTAAATCTCCTCTTATCTGTGCAAAAGGATGGTGAGGTCAGCGAAAGAAGAAATCAGGAGTTGTGTCCAAGGCCCTGCCCTCGCTGGCGGAGGGAAAACTTACTGTGCCAAAGCTGCGACCACGTTAGGCGAAACACACTGAAAGGGCTCCGGAAAACCGCGTTCCCAAACTGCAGGTCCCTCGCGGCGCTCACTACGGCGCTCCGCAGTCCAGAGGTCACCGGGGTATCTGGGCTACTGAGCATGCGGGACTTCCCGCGCAAGCGCACAATAGCTACTCGCCGCTGCGCACTCCGACTCCCGCGGCGCCTGAAATCTCCGCTTGGGCGCGTTTTGCGCAGGCTCACCGGGGGTGCTGCGCCAGGTGTGAGAGGGACGGCTCCGCAGCGTCGCGCGCTGGTCGTGCCCGTGATCCCTCGCCCCGCCGCTGCTGCGGAGGATGGCAGGTTCGGAGCCAGCCTGCGCAGTTTAGCAAGACCCTGTCATAAAATAAAATAAGGGTTCCTAGCTGTCACTTTTCGATTGCACGGCAAAGGGAAAGAGGAAGATGTATGAATGATCATTGTAAACAGCATTGAAGAAAAAATAAACAAGAAAGCTGGCCGTGGGGCTGGGGATTTAGCTCAGCGGCAAAGCGCCTGCCTGGCAAGCGCAAGGTCGTGAGTTCGGTTCCCGGTACCGGAGAAAAACCAAAAAAAAAAAAAAAAAAAAAAAAAAAAAAAAAAAAAAAAAAAAAAAGAAAGCTGGCCGTCATCTTAGACCTCTGGAGGCTGAGGCAAGATGATCACTTCAAGTTGGCTGCCAGCCTGGGATACAGAATGAGTTCAAGGCCAGCCTGGAATAGATAGCAAGACCTTGTCTCAAAAAATATCTTTAAATTGATGGACATTACTAAATGCCATGCAAGAAAACATTCTGGACTACCGTCACAAACCCTCAAACCTCTTAATTTTTGTTGTAATCTGTTATCTGGAGAAATGTTATTCTAGCTGATTGTGCTTATGGTTCCTAAAATTGGACATCTTTATATAGTTTCTAAAATTTATTTATTTATTGGTGTGGAGGATCAAACCCAGGGACTTAGGTATACTAGGCGAGCATCCTTCCCCCGGGCTACATCCCTTTCCCGTTGTTTTTTCTTTCGTTTTGTGTTTTTGTGTGTGTGTGTGTGTTTTGGCTGTTTCTATTTGTCTGTGCATTGCCTATGCTTATCTTTTGCCTTTTTTTCCCCTACCGGGTTGTTTATATTTATCTCTTTGATTTGTAGGAACTCTTTGTACGTGCGCGCCCGTGTGTGTGTGTGTGTGTGTGTGTGTGTGTGTGTGTGCCTGCATGCGCGGTATAGTGGGCTTGAGCCCAGGGCCTGCCTTCACAGGGAGCTACATCCCCAGGCCTTTTTTTTTGTTTTTTTGAGACAGGGTCTTGCCGATTTGTCCAGGCTGTGCTTGAACTTGCGATCCTCCTGCATCTGTATTTTCCTGTTTTTTTAATGTGAGCAGATGTTTTCTCCCAGTGTGGTGAAGGGGAGGTGACTTAACGTGGTGGTTATGAGCTCAGGCATTGGGCGTAACCACCTGGGTTTGAATCCTGCTCTGCCACTTCTTAGTTGTGTGATCGTCACACGTTACCTACTTTGTGTGCCTCGATTTTCTTATCTTGAATATGCAAATACTTGCTGGCTGTGATGAGGCTGAGGTAGGAGGATAATAGGATATTGAGAGCCCGTCTAAAAAACCAAATTAAATGGGAATCCGTCCGAGCCCTCCTTGACAGCACGGTTTTACTATGTGGTGTCTGACTCACCTGGCTTTTAGGGTTAAATGTGTTAACAGAGGTACAGAGTCAGATGTTGCCTGATAAAATGCAGGCATTGATCAAATACTTCCTGCTGCCTTCTCACTCTCAGGTATCCTTTTCTGTACATATTTCTTTCCCTTTTGTAGAAAATCTATTACTTTTCAAATGAAGTGTGCTGGTGATGTACATCTGTCATCTCCGCAGGAGGGAGGCCAAAGCAGGAAGATTGCAAGTTGGAGGCCTGCCTGGGTTACATTTGCTTCAAAAAACAGTAAGTCTGTCAGTGTTCTGTTTATGTGAAGCAAGGCTCTGGCTGTTGTGCTTTGGATGAGGAAGGCTGCTCCCGAAGCACCTCACACTTCACTTCACCGTGAGATGGTGACATTTTCCACCCGTACTTGAACGAGAGCTCAGTCACTGGCCTAACTCATTCCAGTTCCTCTGGATGCGTCTTCCATTTACCTCCTAGAACCCTCACGACACTGGACGGAATCCTCCTCGATGAACAGAGAGCCACAGAACAGGTGACCAGTGATGCCCTGCCCAAAGCAGGAGCAGTTACCCCGAGGGATGAGGCTGTCCCCTTGGACGGGAGCCTTCAGGTCAGGTCAGGACAGGTCTGGACCTGTGCTCTTGAGCATCTGCAGGTTTCGAAGCATCTCACAGAGCTGGCCTGAGATAATGACGACGAGGTCCCCGGCTGCCCAGGGTCACCTGTGCTACCACCCTGCACCCTCAGCTCTGCGCACCCGGCCCTGCTTTGCTCCTCTTGCTATCAAGTCCTAACTCCATCAGCCCCTTCAGGCAGGGCTGGGGCCTCCACTGTCCTTCCAGGCATGGCCTCGCTGATCAAAGCTCTTTCCAGAACCGGGAGTCTCCTCAGTACGGTGTTCTGGGAGCCCTGACCTGGGGCCCGAAGCACTGGTCACAGCAGGAAATGGACCAGCAAAGAGAGCTACGCCTGTGGGACACTTGAGCAGAGGATGGTGTGCACATTGGGCTATTCCACAGGCGTGGGGCGAACAGGGACTCAGGCACTGCCAGAGACACAAGTGGTGGCCTGGGGGTACAATGTTAAGGGTCGTGGGAGGCAGCGGATTTGTCCCGCGCTCCAACCAGCTGTTGGCCCGCGACCAGTGCAGAGATGTGCTGAGTGCATATATTTCAAATTTCACTATTCTTTTTTTTTTTGGTACCGGGAATCGAACTCAGGACCTTGTGCTTGCCAGGCAGGCGCTTGTGCCACCGAGTTATATCCCCAGACCTGTACTTCAGATTTCAAAGACTTAGCGTGAGGGGAGGTTAAGACACTGGTAATTTTTACTGATTACATACTGAAGTGACATCACAGGTTTATTGTATTAAATAACCTTTTTTCCCCAGCACTTGAGATTGATATCAAGGCCTTCGCGCTGAAGTGCATCCCCAGCCCCTCTTTGTCCTTATTTTTTATTCCGTAACAGGTCCTGATCAATGCTTGTGTCTGGATGTCCCCCCAAGCCTCACGCGGTCATTGGTGGGGCTTTTTCAGACTGCGGGGCGTGTGACGCTGAGGTTAAGGGTGTGATCGCCGAGTCAGCCCACTGATTGGTTTGGCGGCGGCCTAGCCCGGGTAGCCTGGATACAATACAGGGCACACAACGAGGCTTGTGCTCTCCCTCGCTTGCTGCCTGCTGCCTGCTGCCTGCCGTGAACTGTTTCTCCTCCGTGATTCCCGTCCGCCACGCCACCCCGCCTAGGAGCCTGCCTATCACGGTCTGAAACAGCCACAAGCTGTGAGCTAAATAAAGCTTTCCTCCCTTAACCGGTGGGCGTAGGGGATTTTGTCACAGCAAAGACAGAAGCAACTAAGGCAGATGCTAAACGGCCCTTCAGGGCTGAAGCTTGCCTCGCTCCTACCTCGGCTTCCCAGCAGGCTAGGGTTACCCGCGGGCGCCAGGCGGAGAAACGAACCGCAAAGCCCGCGCGCTCCTTCCGGCTGAAGGTCCGGAACCACTCCCGAAACACACCCGGAAGGCCGCGCGTTGCCACGCCCCTTCCGGCGACAGCACGCATGCGCACGTCCCGCACAATTTAGGCGCTTTGGGGGTCTCTACACCTTGGGGTCTCGGCGCATGCGCATTGCCGCGCGCCCCAGAGTTCCTCCGATTGGTTTCTGTCCAGGCCCGGGCGGCCGCCGCCTGCGTGTTGAGGGGCGCGATGCGCAGCCGGCCTGGGGCGGCGGCTCTGGCCGCG